CGGGGTCGGGGCCATCTTCAAGCCCTGCGAGACATTCCAAAAAGATGTCATGCCCTTCAAGACTTGCTTCCACCTCAGAAGACCTCATATTTAGAGCCTCCTAGATTTGCCACTCAGAGAACTCGGGGCCAAGAGGAGAATCATCCATGTTGATCACCCCGAGAGATCCACTCGGGGCATTCTCTTTTATTTGAAGAGGCTCGGGGTCAGGTCGTTTGGCCTCGCCCTCATAGTGATCTCCTGAGTGAGACGCTTTCTTTCTGGATGATGGTTCGGGGACTTTGTTTGAGCTCCCTTCGGAGATTTCTTCGGCTCTGGAATGAGCCACATCAACCGCTATTGGTTCAGTGGGCTTCGAAGCATCGGCGTTCTTTCTTTTACAGTTTACCGGCAGGCAATCGTCATCTTCTTCTCCTTCCTGGTCCCGAAGACGTTGGGCCATTTCCGGAGATAAGGCCGATGCATCTGCCTTAGGCTTTCGAGCCAACTTTTTTTTGGCTTCGGGGGATTTTCAGATGACTCTGTCCTCCTTTTACTTTCTTTGGGAGGCTTCGGAGCCTCCAGTTCACCAGCTGAGACCTGCCTCAATTCAACAGCGTCTCCAAGACCTACGTGAAATCGAGATTAGTATCCTGTAATAGAAATATTGAAAATCAAACAAGAGAACTCACCATGGTTTTTTGCCTCCCATCGACCCTTGGCCAGATCTCGCCAGCAACGCTCTAAGTAAGAGGAGGCGGAGGCCAGCTTTCGGACCCAGCCCTCGAGGTCCGAGAAACCAAGCAGTGGCTAAACCATCGTAAAGAGGTTAGATCAAAGAAAAATATAAAGTCGGGGAAAAGAAAAGAAAGTAGGGTATACTCACGTTTCATGTTCCACTCCTCGGGGAACGGCATCCAATCAACAGGAATCAAATCAGAGGTTTTGACTCGGACAAACGGGCTCATCCACCCACGGTCTTTGTCCTCTTCGATGCTAAAGAAGAGGGATTTTAAAGATCGGCGTTGCAATTTTATCAAGCCCCTACGATAAAGTCGGGGACTGTACAATCTAATCAGATGATCGAGCGTAAAAGACATTTCCTCGATTTGGTTCGTAAAGAACCTAATTAAGTAAACAATTCGCTAGAAGGAGGGGTAGAACTGGCCGAGCGTCACTCGGTATCGTTGGCAAAAGTCGAGGATAACTAGGTCTTTGGGACCCTGAGCCGGAATTGCAGGGCCCAACGTAAACGGGTAAGTATATACACTCAAGTATCCCGTTTTATATGTGGTGATATCTTCTTCAGAGAAAGGAATCACTATTTCCTTATTGTCCCATTTGCAATCCTCCTTTACTTGCTTGAGCTCGGCCTTTGTCACCAAACAAACATATTGAGACATGGGCTCACATCGGCCTGGTGTCGAAACAGGTTTTTCGATTTTAAAATCGAATGTAATCTCACAGGGCGGTGGGATGCATTCCTCGATACGAGGTGGCACTACTGGTTTACTCTTGGTCGGTCGAGAAGATGAAGGAGCTTTTTCCTTTTGAGAAATAGATTTAGAAGTTTTAGCCATCACTATGCGATAGATCCAAGAAGATGAAAAATGTTGTTAGTGAAGAGTAGGGAGAGCTCAAGGAAATTGAAAAAGGATAAATGAGACTTTGAAAGTAATAAAGTTTGTAAGGTTGTGGGATCTATCTATTTATAAAGGTCATTCAAGCGTGCCGAGGAAGCCAAAAGGCCGACCGTCAGCCGTCTCCAATTAATGATTTAGGGAATCGTACAAAAAGCAACTCTTCAGTCACTTCAACCGCTTATGTCATGATATTGGCATCAGGACCAAGGCATCGGGAATTAATTTGTCAAAAATCATTAAAGGCAGCCTATAAGTCGAGTTCGAGCAAACACCACTCGACTATTAAGCCCAAGGGCTACCCGAGTTCGGGCAAATTCTCACTCGGGGACTATCTATAAAGCCTAAGGGTTAACTTTATTTCGAGTTAGAGCAAACACTCACTCGACTATTAAGCCCAAGGGCTACTCGAGTTCGAGCAAATTCTCACTCGGGGACTATCTGTAAAGCCTAAGGGCTATCTTCATTTAAAGTTAAAGCAAATACTCGCTCGACTACTAAACCCGAGGGCTATCCGAGTTCGAGCAAATTCTCACTCGAGGACCACGAAAAGGTTTAAGGAATAGCTTCATTTCGAGATCTTGCTCTCACCTGACTCGGGCTCGGGGATCATGATGTTCGGGGTTCGCATTTAAGCTCAACTTGAAGATTAACGAGAACATCGAGGGGTACTATATTAAAAACCTAAGGGTTTATTATGTTCTCAGCTCGATATTTGGGGTAGCTATTAAAACCGTCTCACCAAAGTCTTTTACGGATAAAGATAGAACAACATTCAGCACGAACCAGAAGCGATACAAGGGGATCCTTTTTTGCTTTTAAGAAATATTTACAAATTACAACTACGGCACCCAAGAAGGATGCTTACACAGGAGCAAAGAAACAAAAAACAAAAGCCAAAGAACCTAATCCACTTTAAAGACTACGTCCTCGGGAGCATCGTCTTTCCTCAAAGGTATCATTCCAGATCTCTGGGAATGTATATATGGGACAGGAAGCCCCCGATAAAAGTAAATATATCTCCACCAGCTGAGATCGAGCGTTCCGATGAAGTCTTGGGCCACAATTCATTAAGAAAGAACAGGCAAAAAGAAGAAGCAAAAGGGGGGTGCAAGGTGCAAAAGCAACAATCCAAGAGTGGTCACCCCCGGAAATCTGTTCCGGTGTGGGATGCAAAAGTTAGTAGATGATAGTGCCACCTCATTCCATGGAAAGCAAAGGGAATGAAGCGCCACACCAGGTTGAAGATAAAAGGAGATGAACAGCAGTGTAAAGTTCGCATATCTTCTGATACGGAAGGGACCTGGTGCCTTTCTCCCGTTGTCTCGAGCCGAAGCTCTGAAAAAGGAAGCTTTGGCGTAACTGGTAAAGTCGCTTCCATGTGACCTTGTGGCCACCGGTTTGAACCATGGAAATAGGTGGTTAGAGGAAGAGGTAAAGAAGGGAAAGGACTAAAGGTAGATAAAGAATGAATAAGTGTAGTTGTTGTCCAGCAAAACAACCTCCCATTTATAGAAAGCTGACGACGGAATCGGCGGCGCAAGTGGCCGACAAAGGCTGAAATGTATTTGACGTTCTGGGGAAGCACACAGACATGATGTTTCTGATAACTTCAAACGCCTACGTCACAGCCATGACGTCATCACAAGTGGTTCGGGAGAATCGAGGTTCAAATCGTTTCTTATCATCTTATTCTAAGAAACGCGGGGACTATCTGTATACGGTCAAAATCAGGGAGCCCGATTTTGAGGTCTTAAATTAAGTTATGAGCTTGAGTCCGGACAACTCGAAATGGAGGTCGGACTCGGCTGAGGGACACGTGCCTCGCGGAAGCTGATCGAGGGCCTGGCACAACTTGCATCGAGAGCAGCGCAATCTCAAAGCCAATCAAGAAAGAGTGGGAATTTCTCAAGGACATGTGGACCAGGGCATAAATTAAAGGATAAGATTTGTACGAAATGGTACATGCCCGTACTAGGTTGTTATACACCTGTACCAATAGAATTCTTTACTATAATTAGGAATGTACTACATTGGGGTTTCCTCCTCCTATATAAAGGGAACCCCAATCATTTTGTAAGGACATATCATATTATTCTCTGCAATAAAACATTCTGCTCTGCCTTTCTTGTTTAACGTGCTCAACAATTATTCTTCAGATTTATTGTCTTTACTTTATTGTTCATATTTTATTGTTCCAAGCTGACCTCGAGGTCCCTGGGATAACCGAGCTCGAGGCCCCTATTGCTCCAGCAACACTGATTTGGTTCACCTTTTCTTCTTACTTAAGCTTAATATTACTTGTATAATCACTAGTATTAGAATATATCACATATCTTTAAAACCACNGCCATTGGAATTGCCCCATGATTGAGCAACATACATATCAAGTTATTAGCTTTACAAAGGGCAAAGTTATATAAACAATATATTCAAGAAGAACAAATATGGCGGACACTTTTAAAAGAGCTTCGCGGTATTCTCCATTCCACGACTTTAATTTTTTCCTCCTCAGTTTTATTAATAACAACATCTATGGTCTGTTGGCCCTTGCCAAATAAGAAAAGCAAAGGTAAATAAAGTTGCTGTTGCGGTTGGTTTTTATCCTTGGCATAGAATGGAGCATTGGTGTAAAGAGAATTGCCTATCTTGAGTTCTCCTTATAAGCAATATTCTAAATAGCAAAAAGAAAAATATACTTTGACAAAGAAATGCCATTGCTTGATAGTTTATCTTCTAAATCATCAGTTCAAATATAAAATATAAGTGATTTATATGTAAAGTATCCCTGCACCTATGGCACTTCTTTTGCTAAATATGTTATTAGTAATAAAAATTAGTTATATGTATAAACAAATTCTTATGTTCCTTCATCTTTTAGAAGAGGGAAGTGCTCGGGAAATTTGATTTTTTAGTTTGTTACAAATATTAGTTTAGTTATATTGTAACTATTTTTACCTGAGATAAAAAACAACACATTAGGGACCCGTTTGTTCATAATTTTTTTTCCTTTTTGTGTTTGTCCATGAAATTTTACAAGTTTTCCAAAAAAATCGAAAATGAGTTTTTCAAAATAAACAACCTTTTCAGCTTTTTTTTTTCTCACTCACAAAATTGCAACATTATTTCAAGTGAAATGCATGTCCAAACATAACTCCAAATTTCAAATACCATTTCTCAACTTAACTCTAAATAATTTTTTTTAAAAAATTACAATTTTTATGTCCAAACGCCTACTAGATTTATACATAAATACTCCACAAAAGATTAAGAGGTAATTTTCCTCAAATTCCTTCGAGACTATAAAAAGAAAATTCAGAAAATACCGACGTACGACGTCGTTTGAGTCTATTAAGTAGGTTTAGGCAAACGCATGAGAGATGCAAAGTCAAAGGGGAAAAAAGAAGATGAGGAAAAGAAAGGAGGGTTCCATGTCAAGCATTGTGTGCGTAATCCATTACCCAAATATATAACCTTCCCTCCCTCGTTTGATGGCCGTACGGCCATTTCACTTCTTTGTTTCATTCCGCCACCACCACAACCATCGCCTCCTCTCTCCTTTTCCGGTCACCTCTTCTCTCTTCCCCTCTCTCCTCCGTCAGTTTTCCTCGAAAACTCCGTCGCTCTCTCTCACCCGACACAAACACAAATCACCTTCTTCGTTACCTCCGCCGTCACCGTCATCTCCTTATCTTCATCGACTGTCGGCGACTTTATCCGAAACCCTGGCGCAGAAAATAGGGAAATCTATTCGGCGTCCCGGTGCGCCGTCCAAGGCCCGGGTTTATACGGACATCAATGTGATCCGACCCAAAGAGTATTGGGATTATGAATCCCTTACTGTTCAATGGGGGTAATTTGTTCATTTCTTGCTTGATTTACTTTGTTTATAGCTATTAATTAAGGTTGTTTGAACGAAGTTAACTTTTTATTTGTTCATTTGGTTGTATAGAGAGCAGGATGATTACGAGGTGGTAAGGAAAGTCGGGAGAGGAAAGTACAGCGAGGTGTTTGAGGGAATTCACACTACTAATAATGACAAATGCATCATCAAAATCCTTAAGCCTGTCAAGAAGAAAAAGGTTGCTCTTTTTCCTTCTTTCCTTCTTTATAAATATCCTTATTCAGTGCTAGTTTTATAAGCTGACATTGGTGCTTTTCAGAATTTTTAAGTTTTTCATTGTGAGGTGTCAAATATATCTATTGTTGGACGAGTTTTATTTCAGCTTGAGGAATGAGAATGGCATATTGTTTCATTTGCTTGTGCTTTATTTGAGTATGAACTAGAGTAGGCTCATTTTCTGGATAAGTAATGAAAAAGAATAGGCTCATTTGAGATGTTGAAATTGGCTTGATATATGGAGAAAGGAAAACTTGCTTGAGTTTTGAAAGATGCGGTCTACCATTTAAGATTGGAGCTGAAAAGTTAGTGAAACGGGGTGACTAGAATAGAATATTAAGGTAAGGTGAGTATTATTTACAGAAACTGGCACCAAGTAGGTGCAATACTAAAAAGCAAGACTCAAAACCTTAATGCTACACATAAGGAGTGGAGGAAACCATCAAGGTATCAGCATCATATACATTTGTCATCTTACACCACGGAATCAGATTCTTAGAAAGTTCAAGTCCTTAAAAGGGTTAGTCATTGCGTAATTCTGTGTTGCTGAGCAACATAATATATTATTGATATTCTTTAAGCTCATTAGATATCTTCTGGTTTAACTTTCTTAATCTTTCACTGTTTAGCCAAATAATTCTTTCAATTGCATATATCTATAACTGCTTATGTTTTGTTAATTTACTGTAGTAGCTCTTGATTACTTGTGTGCTGGAGTATCATTTATCTGCAAGTAATCTGTGCATTTGTCTTTTTGAGGGCATTCTGACTCATGCTCTCTTATTTGTCAACATATCTTTGCACGTTATTTTGTATAGGAACTTATATATTATTGACACTAACTGCAGATTAAACGTGAGATTAAGATACTGCAGAATCTTTGTGGTGGACCTAATATTGTGAAGTTACTCGATATCGTCAGAGATCAGCAATCGAAGACCCCAAGCCTTATATTCGAATACGTGAATAACACAGATTTTAAAGTGCTGTATCCTAATCTTTCCGACTTCGATATTAGATATTACATCTATGAGTTGTTGAAGGCAAGTTCTCTGTTGATGTGGATTTTAAGGCCTCTCAAATATATGATCTTCGTTTTATCTTCAATATTTCCCTGGTTACGGAAGCTTGCTATAGATTATAGTAATATTATATTATTGCTATACAGGATGCTCCCTTTGAATCTCTTTTTTGGATACAATCTGAAGATGATTATGTGCAATTTGCTTTGAGATAATGAACTTATTTCTAATGAGAAATTTCACTACTCTTTTGAACAAATTTCGCAGAATGATAATGTGCCTAATATTTGATCTATTTCCATTTTTACCCTATCTAAAAGTTTGAATTCTTTTCTTAGGTCCGACCATTTGAACTAATCTCTTTAACTGAACTCTCCATGTGGGTGTGCGCAAGCTGGCTCGGGCACCGCCGTCGTAAAAAAAGTGAAAAAAATAATGTAGCCAGATATGATTTATCAAAAAGAAAAAAATGTAACTAGATTTTGTATTATCAATCTCCATGCAAGTCAAAGTAGACAAGTATTTTGGAGTATGATCTAAAGCTCCTTTTTTGCTATTATGATTGGAGAAGACGCATTCTTTTGATTTTTTGGCTGACTGGCGAGATTTGAGTTTAAAGATGGGTAACTAGGTTCATATTATTTCGACTTGATAATATGATGAGATTTCTCTGTTTGAGTACAATAAAATTATTGACATGTTATAGACTTAAAAGACAAATTACTGTGCACAAGAATGAAATGACTTATAATGGAGCGAAATGAATGTTGCTAGTCTGGGATCATGACCAGTTGTTTGTGGTACAGCTGTTGTTTTTCACACTCGACTCTTTTTACATATATTTCTATATTATGCCTTTGCAACTTGATATTTTCTTGAGGTTGCCAGAGTAATTCAAGTATTACTGTACTCCTCTGCTGGCTATTAGTATTATTTGCCATTTCTCAAGGTTATTATCGCTACCGTTGATGTGAAGTCCCCATATGTAATGATTGATCATGACCTAGCGTAAACTCGGTCTAAATGAATTTGGGGACTTTGCGAGTAAAAGTTTTTCTAACTCTTACCGTGGGTAAAAACGAAGTTAACTAAAAGTCGTTTCCCGGTAGGTTGGGTCCGTTTCTTAACGGGTTTCGGTACTTCTTTTACCCCACGTTTGCCTTTAGGGTTTTTGTAAACGTTCTAAACGTTTTTTGTCCGTTTTTTTTAGACGTAAGTTTTTTAAAAAACTCCTAAGTTATAACCGTAAATTTTTAAAACCGTTTTTGAAAAGTTTAAACGGTAAACTTTTACGTCTTTTACGGTTTACCCTTTTTTTAAACAANCCTTTTCTTCTTACTTAAGCTTAATATTACTTGTATAATCACTAGTATTAGAATATATATATATATATATATATATATATATATATATATATATATATATATATATATATATATATATATCACATATCTTTAAAACAACAAATTATCTTTAATTGTTACTCACATTTTTCGAGGTAAACAAACTTTCTAGGTTATTTTAAAACAATAAATATTATGTTTTTCTCATCGATTTCCTTTTTTCTTGTGAAATTCTTTGCCCTATTCGTAGCCATTGGAATTGCCCCATGATTGAGCAACATACATATCAAGTTATTAGCTTTACAAAGGGCAAAGTTATATAAACAATATATTCAAGAAGAACAAATATGGCGGACACTTTTAAAAGAGCTTCGCGGTATTCTCCATTCCACGACTTTAATTTTTTCCTCCTCAGTTTTATTAATAACAACATCTATGGTCTGTTGGCCCTTGCCAAATAAGAAAAGCAAAGGTAAATAAAGTTGCTGTTGCGGTTGGTTTTTATCCTTGGCATAGAATGGAGCATTGGTGTAAAGAGAATTGCCTATCTTGAGTTCTCCTTATAAGCAATATTCTAAATAGCAAAAAGAAAAATATACTTTGACAAAGAAATGCCATTGCTTGATAGTTTATCTTCTAAATCATCAGTTCAAATATAAAATATAAGTGATTTATATGTAAAGTATCCCTGCACCTATGGCACTTCTTTTGCTAAATATGTTATTAGTAATAAAAATTAGTTATATGTATAAACAAATTCTTATGTTCCTTCATCTTTTAGAAGAGGGAAGTGCTCGGGAAATTTGATTTTTTAGTTTGTTACAAATATTAGTTTAGTTATATTGTAACTATTTTTACCTGAGATAAAAAACAACACATTAGGGACCCGTTTGTTCATAATTTTTTTTCCTTTTTGTGTTTGTCCATGAAATTTTACAAGTTTTCCAAAAAAATCGAAAATGAGTTTTTCAAAATAAACAACCTTTTCAGCTTTTTTTTTTCTCACTCACAAAATTGCAACATTATTTCAAGTGAAATGCATGTCCAAACATAACTCCAAATTTCAAATACCATTTCTCAACTTAACTCTAAATAATTTTTTTTAAAAAATTACAATTTTTATGTCCAAACGCCTACTAGATTTATACATAAATACTCCACAAAAGATTAAGAGGTAATTTTCCTCAAATTCCTTCGAGACTATAAAAAGAAAATTCAGAAAATACCGACGTACGACGTCGTTTGAGTCTATTAAGTAGGTTTAGGCAAACGCATGAGAGATGCAAAGTCAAAGGGGAAAAAAGAAGATGAGGAAAAGAAAGGAGGGTTCCATGTCAAGCATTGTGTGCGTAATCCATTACCCAAATATATAACCTTCCCTCCCTCGTTTGATGGCCGTACGGCCATTTCACTTCTTTGTTTCATTCCGCCACCACCACAACCATCGCCTCCTCTCTCCTTTTCCGGTCACCTCTTCTCTCTTCCCCTCTCTCCTCCGTCAGTTTTCCTCGAAAACTCCGTCGCTCTCTCTCACCCGACACAAACACAAATCACCTTCTTCGTTACCTCCGCCGTCACCGTCATCTCCTTATCTTCATCGACTGTCGGCGACTTTATCCGAAACCCTGGCGCAGAAAATAGGGAAATCTATTCGGCGTCCCGGTGCGCCGTCCAAGGCCCGGGTTTATACGGACATCAATGTGATCCGACCCAAAGAGTATTGGGATTATGAATCCCTTACTGTTCAATGGGGGTAATTTGTTCATTTCTTGCTTGATTTACTTTGTTTATAGCTATTAATTAAGGTTGTTTGAACGAAGTTAACTTTTTATTTGTTCATTTGGTTGTATAGAGAGCAGGATGATTACGAGGTGGTAAGGAAAGTCGGGAGAGGAAAGTACAGCGAGGTGTTTGAGGGAATTCACACTACTAATAATGACAAATGCATCATCAAAATCCTTAAGCCTGTCAAGAAGAAAAAGGTTGCTCTTTTTCCTTCTTTCCTTCTTTATAAATATCCTTATTCAGTGCTAGTTTTATAAGCTGACATTGGTGCTTTTCAGAATTTTTAAGTTTTTCATTGTGAGGTGTCAAATATATCTATTGTTGGACGAGTTTTATTTCAGCTTGAGGAATGAGAATGGCATATTGTTTCATTTGCTTGTGCTTTATTTGAGTATGAACTAGAGTAGGCTCATTTTCTGGATAAGTAATGAAAAAGAATAGGCTCATTTGAGATGTTGAAATTGGCTTGATATATGGAGAAAGGAAAACTTGCTTGAGTTTTGAAAGATGCGGTCTACCATTTAAGATTGGAGCTGAAAAGTTAGTGAAACGGGGTGACTAGAATAGAATATTAAGGTAAGGTGAGTATTATTTACAGAAACTGGCACCAAGTAGGTGCAATACTAAAAAGCAAGACTCAAAACCTTAATGCTACACATAAGGAGTGGAGGAAACCATCAAGGTATCAGCATCATATACATTTGTCATCTTACACCACGGAATCAGATTCTTAGAAAGTTCAAGTCCTTAAAAGGGTTAGTCATTGCGTAATTCTGTGTTGCTGAGCAACATAATATATTATTGATATTCTTTAAGCTCATTAGATATCTTCTGGTTTAACTTTCTTAATCTTTCACTGTTTAGCCAAATAATTCTTTCAATTGCATATATCTATAACTGCTTATGTTTTGTTAATTTACTGTAGTAGCTCTTGATTACTTGTGTGCTGGAGTATCATTTATCTGCAAGTAATCTGTGCATTTGTCTTTTTGAGGGCATTCTGACTCATGCTCTCTTATTTGTCAACATATCTTTGCACGTTATTTTGTATAGGAACTTATATATTATTGACACTAACTGCAGATTAAACGTGAGATTAAGATACTGCAGAATCTTTGTGGTGGACCTAATATTGTGAAGTTACTCGATATCGTCAGAGATCAGCAATCGAAGACCCCAAGCCTTATATTCGAATACGTGAATAACACAGATTTTAAAGTGCTGTATCCTAATCTTTCCGACTTCGATATTAGATATTACATCTATGAGTTGTTGAAGGCAAGTTCTCTGTTGATGTGGATTTTAAGGCCTCTCAAATATATGATCTTCGTTTTATCTTCAATATTTCCCTGGTTACGGAAGCTTGCTATAGATTATAGTAATATTATATTATTGCTATACAGGATGCTCCCTTTGAATCTCTTTTTTGGATACAATCTGAAGATGATTATGTGCAATTTGCTTTGAGATAATGAACTTATTTCTAATGAGAAATTTCACTACTCTTTTGAACAAATTTCGCAGAATGATAATGTGCCTAATATTTGATCTATTTCCATTTTTACCCTATCTAAAAGTTTGAATTCTTTTCTTAGGTCCGACCATTTGAACTAATCTCTTTAACTGAACTCTCCATGTGGGTGTGCGCAAGCTGGCTCGGGCACCGCCGTCGTAAAAAAAGTGAAAAAAATAATGTAGCCAGATATGATTTATCAAAAGAAAAAAATGTAACTAGATTTTGTATTATCAATCTCCATGCAAGTCAAAGTAGACAAGTATTTTGGAGTATGATCTAAAGCTCCTTTTTTGCTATTATGATTGGAGAAGACGCATTCTTTTGATTTTTTGGCTGACTGGCGAGATTTGAGTTTAAAGATGGGTAACTAGGTTCATATTATTTCGACTTGATAATATGATGAGATTTCTCTGTTTGAGTACAATAAAATTATTGACATGTTATAGACTTAAAAGACAAATTACTGTGCACAAGAATGAAATGACTTATAATGGAGCGAAATGAATGTTGCTAGTCTGGGATCATGACAGTTGTTTGTGGTACAGCTGTTGTTTTTCACACTCGACTCTTTTTACATATATTTCTATATTATGCCTTGCAACTGATATTTTCTTGAGGTGCCAGAGAATTCAAGTATTACTGTATCCTCTGCAGGCATTAGATTATTGCCATTCTCAAGGTATTATGCACCGTGATGTGAAGCCCCATAATGTAATGATTGATCATGACCAGCGTAAACTTCGGCTAATAGATTGGGGACTTGCAGAATTTTATCATCCTGGAAAGGAATATAATGTCCGTGTGGCTTCTAGGTTCGATCTTCCACTGCTGTTTGTATCATTTGTCTTTTGAGATTTAAAATCATATCAATTTAACTTTTGAATAAGGATTTCTCTTGTTTCCTTTATTTTTACTAATTGAGTGGTGGCAGGAATCTCAATCTGCTTCTAGTCGTTAACATTTCTTTGTTGGGGCTAAGTAATAGAAGCTTCTGCATATTAAAGCACCCAGGGGGGGGGGTACTTGGATCTAGAAAGGAGGACTATAGCTCCTTTAGCTATGTAAGGAGTCTATGAACTCCATCGAAGTGTCAAAATTATTTACATTGGACATCCTACAACCAGTAAACATCTACATT